ACAATTCGCACCTGAAATTTTCCACATTTATAGCTTAGGCTTCATTTCGTGTATATACAACATTTTGTTTACTTCAGAGTGATGGTGGATTTTTGGCAATGTTTCAACCAGAACCGATAAAGTCTTGAGCTTTTAGGAATCGTTAGGGCAATCCATGGTTCTTAAAGGTACAAACTGGGACTTGCTGGAGCTGATTTTCAGTGAATTTTCGACGTGCTTACGTAAAAAATCACTGGAAGCGAATCAGGAGAGATGGACGTCTGAAACTTTCCACTTTTACTGCTGGATGATTCTTATAATGCTGATTTTTGACGATTTTTCATGTGCAGGAGCAATTTATCTGCACCTATGTGAAATATCCTTGAGCTCGGCCCTTTTATTTAACTTATGAGAAATTCTGAAATGTGGGTGAAATTTTCTAGATCGCTTCTCTTCTTGTGGAATTCAATTACATTTTGCCCGAATTCGAATGTAACAATATCGAACATCTGTCCGTTTGAAGGCTGTGTATTGTCCATTAATCCGTGGGTGTCTCATACCTGAAGCAATAAAGCCATTATTCCAATGCTTCGCTTCTTCACAGATTTGTCTGGCTGCCATCTGTGGGCCTGAATTATTCAAACATGTTTCAACAAGGTGACATTCCGCACTTCTGCCCAACCAAACAAGCGTTTTATTCCCATTACTCCTTACTATTTAAATTGGGGATTTTCGACTGCTTTTTGTGATATCAAGGTCTAGTTTTCCTGGGAATTTGTAAACTGCGGGATCTCGTTAGGAGCACGATTGAATGCGTTCAAATAACATTTTCGGCCAGTCTCTTTTTTCAAGCAGCCAATGAAATGTAAACATTTCTGGAGGCTGGTTGTTGAGGTTTTACGTTTTTAAATCGGCCGGCCATTGCCACTGTTCTTTAACAAGCAAATTATTTTCGTAAAATTGATTAAATACCCAATAAACGAGTCACGATAAGGAGGCGCTTAATCGGAGGACTATCCGTTCAATATAATAGAATCACTCTTTATAACGGCGAGTCAGTAAAAACTGTTTGATGTTAAGTGCCAATAAATATTAGTTTTAGAGATAAGATTTTATGTAGAGCACCTGATTGACAACAAAATAAACAATTCACGGGCACGCTTCCGTGTTAGTCGATTCAACTGTTTGCATTAAGAAAAATGGAACTGAACAGCGGATCAGTCAAACCAGACAACTAAACATAAACAATAATGACCGGAGATTTGTTGTTGTTGATGCCATTAGTTAATTGACTTGCATAGCTGGACCAGACTTGTTCAGTAGTGGCCCATTTTATGGAAAAAGCGCTTTCCTTAACAATCAAGCTTAATTGGACAGGTTTTACCAGTTCCAGATGGTTTTTTGTATTCCTATCCCTAAAATACGTGATGCATCCTGCCTAACCAGGATGCAAAAAATACTCTAAATTTATGCTGATTTTTTGGCGAGATTTCAAAATTTCTCGAAATTGATCAATAATGCGCGAACTGCTGGAGGTTTGAACCAAACAACTGAAGAAGGCAACGTTCATCGATCTTCCCGATTCATCACCACTAAACGAAGTGTGTATTGTCAAGCGGAAACCGAAAAAGCAGAATATTAAATCATCTTTTAATTTAGTAACGACGGTCATACTTTAATTTAAGGAACATTGATGAATTACCATATTTTATTTGCGATAACCATAAGATTATATGTCACTGGCACTGATTTCTGTTTGTTTTGCTTTTAGTAACTTGGTGAATTTGGTGGTGTTTGTCCGGGCCAAAGAGACCTGAATTGTGTACGAAACTCATTACGCTGCTCGTAAAATCGCCATTATATTTATTTATCAGGCATGTTTATGTAATGTTCATTTAATTGGCCACATTTTGATAAACATGTGTCGAATGATTCAGAATGGTAAATAGGAGATTTGTTCATTTGTTCACTATTCATTTGAACGGCCGCGCAACCAAAGACTCCAGTCGCATCGATTAACTTGGCCCTCCTCATATTGCTGCTTTTATTATCAAGTGCTTTATTCGTATTAGATTACCATTCATTTAAATAATCGCGTACCAGCTTTGAATCCAAAATGACGTTTAGCACCTAAAGTTTTACGAGTGTGACCTCAAATCCCGCGTCTTATGCCAACAATAAATTTCAACCATCGAAAATTGGACATTCATATTCATATTTAGCTACGTGATTTGTTAACGCAAGTTGCGACCAGAAGAGAAACCGCCACTGTTCTGTTTCAAGGGACATTTCGACAGTGCAGTCTTGAAAACAATCAACATGTTCAAATGAACAATAGCCATGTTGTTGCTTCTGATTCATCAACATCTTTTGTTCGAATAGAATTCGCAGACTTTCTGTTTATCTGGAAAATCTATAGCAGCTATTCATTCACTAAATCGTTGTTAGAGATTCACCATTCATGCGTGTGTCTTAAACTACGATTAATCCGACAGGGAATTCACATTGAGATTTCCGCGTTGTCACCTGTTTTGCTGTTCAGTGCGCGCTTTAAACAACAGAAAATGCATTTTATCTTCGGCATCCATCTGCTTTTAATGCTAAAACACGGAATTCATTAAAAATCCATACAGTCATTGCTGAATATTTATTCGAATTCTTCTAAAGTGTCAATCAGCATAAAACTGATAACGCAGATTAACCCATCAATACTTTTCAGTCGTAAATATGTAAATATTTTTATAGCTTATAAACATCGGCCTTAATCACTGTGATTAAAACGGTTGCTTAATGCACTCCTAGAAAATCGCTCGATTTTCCCGATATGTTGGATTCGTTATTTTTCGGTCGTCATGGAATAATGTTTTTTTGACGTTTCGCAAGCACGAGTGGCTTGCATCTTCAGAATTAGTTCACTTAGCGCAGCGCGAAATCAAAACCCGTTTTAGAACCTACCTAGTTTTTAATTGCGAGATTTTCGTTTTCCCCTTCTTTGCTATATTAATTCAATTTATAGAAACTTCTCGTCTTTCTTTTTATCAACAATTTTTTCAGTAATTCCTGTCGCTACCTGCGTAAGAGAGCAATTCGCCTCTAAATTATTCCCGGCCGCGTCAGCATATAGGCCCGTCGACACAAACCCCCTATGCCAGCACGTGGAAATTAAGGCCTACTACACCGCAAATCGGCCGTTGTATGCCAATAAATGATTTTTAAAATGTAATGCAAACGTAATTAAAATTCGCTTAAATACTGAGGAAAAAGTTCAAAATTGTTGAATAGTTTGATGCATTGAAATGCAGTGAAAGCCGAAATTTTTCCCAGTGCCGGTTGCAAAAATTGCATTTGCTTTCCATAAGCAAGCGGTCATTACGGATGATTATTTACCCGATGAATTTCCAATGTTAATGTCAAGGTAATTCATGTGCGTTTTAACGACTACAGTGATTCATTTAAAAATGTAAATGACAATGCAGTCGGTCGACAAGGGTCAATCCGAAAAGGGCACCTGACAACTCTGCGGAACAATTCGTCCACAGGTGCTTTCTACCTGTAACTACTGGAATGCATTCCCATGGAAAAAGTATTCAATTCAATGCAACCAATGGGCAGAAGGGCATGAAGCGAAATCCGGTCACAAGCATGCATCAGCTATTTTCAACTTTGATGGAAATCGAAGGGAAGGACTGCGCCAGAAACGCTCATATTTTGCTCTAATGGATGAATTGTTCATCTAGTTAGTGGATAATTATGCAGACTTTCTGTTTAAACAAATTGCGGCGCGCAGTCATTAAGCCGAGACCATTTTTAGAACGGAAACGCGTGTGATGTCATACTTGGAGGTTCTTAGAGGTTTATTCGGACGAGAAATATCACTGCCTGGATTGGAGGATAAACGATTTTTAGTACGATTATTGGCCTAGTAGGGGGCAAACGACAAAGTTTACATAATCAGCGTACTTATCAGTTTGCGCAGATAGGTCAGGTACTTGAGGTCGGCCAATAGAAATCTCCCAACAGAAATATTGGAATGCCATTGGAAATCGCATTATCGCAACTATCAATCTGATTGGGCATTTCCTCAATAATTCCTTAGGTACATTCGAAAAATATTCAGACAGTAAACTCTGTTATCTGGGGGTCATGTAAACATGCGGCCAATCAACAAACGACGATGGCAAACCAGTGGCTTGCTTAGAAAAAGCTTAGAAAAAGCAAGCAAAAGTGATGTGAAATACCCAAATGGAACGAAAGAAAAAATGGGACTAAATTAAATAATTAAATCAAGCCATTTGAAATGCCAGAACGTTGGCTGGTTGACTACACAGAGGCCAGCCAGTAAACCGTAAAGCCACGCCTACGACAGCTTGCCAGATTTACTCAACAAACCAAAGACAAACTCTGTTTACCACACGTGGTTAAATATGGTTGTGAGCAGGAATTTTGCCAACATTATGAAATCTGGGATTGTCATGATGGCTGATTTGACTGGACTCGAGAAAAGTTTGAAAAGACCGAAAAATGGATTACAAAAAAGACTATTTAACCACGTGTGGCAAACATCACCAAGATCCGTTTTTCTCTCTCTTTACTGTTGAAATTCGGGAAGGCAAGAGTGAGGAATATACAGATCAGCCTAGTGAACCGATGAGACAATGGGAATAAGTGCAATATGAGCCGGTCACTCGTTGGTCCATTGACAAGCTGGCAACGGCGCCACCATTCTAAGGAATTCGCAACGCAGTCATATTTTCGTCTTTTCCTGAGACGGTGGACGTAAACAAAAGTAAATTCAGGTCAAAATTCGAGGAAAAATACCGAAAACCCAAAAGCTGCCGATCGAGTTGCCCACGCACCGATGACTTGGGCCCATACAACTCAAAGACTTTCGTGGGCTTTTGTATGAGGTCACGTCCACTATATCACATGCTGTCCTAGCTGTGTTTATTTTAGAGAAAATCGCGCATTGAGGGTGGGTTTCCGGGCGCAACCGCCCCCGATGTGCATAAACCAGGCCTTACCTTCATCTAGAAGCCTTTCCACGTGAAGGAAAACGTTGGGGAAAGCGGCAAGTTGTTTCCGGTCCTTCAGCAACTGTGCCAGATAGTCGGCAATGCTCTGCGTCGAGGCAGAATTCTGATCGCACATGTTTCCACTTCAATTCAGTCTGAGGGTGAGATTTCACAGTATTGACATCAATCACAATGGTTAAGAGGCAAACGACGTTCAAAGCACGACTGAAATCGGAACACTCGCTTGAAAAACTATTGGTACTCAACTGCGATCCGTGAGTCGAACGGCTCGAAGTGCGTGCGGCTCTGCTTGCAAAGCGGGCGTGCGCATAGCGGGGCTTCGCCTTTTAAGGGCCCTTGAAGAATTTAAGGCTTTTTCTGTATAAAATTTCATTTTTCAAACACAATCGGGTTCGGGGTACCGATTCGCTCAGCGGGAGCCGGCATTTACTTCTCGGCAGGGAAAGTTTCACAGGGATGACACCAGGGGCGGATTCAGCTTTAAAGTCAGGCGGGGGTTATGAAGTAAAAACACATTTACAAAATTTCATGTTTTCCATCCCGTTTTGCATGTTTCTCGGAAGCAAAATGAGCAAGAACGCTCGTTTTTTCAAAAACCATTCGAGCCACAGAATTCGTTTTGGCATCGTTGGATAGAGAATTGAACAGTCGATTCAGTCGTAACAACGTGAGTGAGGAAATTCGAGTAGTTTTGACCCACAAAGCGAAATTTGAATATCAGACAATTAAGTGCAAGATTATGCCAAAATTTCATGTTTCCGGCCCGTTTTTACTCATATATCGGAGGCAAAATGAGCAAGAACGCTCATTTACCCAAAAGCATAGCAGGAAATGATAAATCACCGGAAGTCAGGCACGCAATGTCTTTGATAAATAAAGTTTCCAACCAACCCAAGCAGGGCAAGTGCAATTTGATAGTTTGGCAAATGGCAATCTGCGATGAAACGAGTTAGAGTTCGGTAATTTTCACGGACATCAGGCACTGGCCTGCGCTGCTAACAATGAGCTCAAACTAGAGAAAATCCCTGTTTCTACAACTTTGCTTAGCGGCGTTGTTAGTGGAAATGCGCTTTTCCATCAGTTTTCACTGATTGAAATTCACTGCGTCTCCAAAAGCCATCAGAAGAATAAGTGTAACATTTTTCGATCAATTGTGTATATTTAGCAAAACGCTTTCAGAGATTCGCAAAGCAAACCTAAATGCACTTTATAATGCCTAACATTGGAAATGACATAATAAATATCTGCGTCGTCGGCTCGCCAAAGATTTATGGTGTTGATAATGGGATTTTCCCGTCAAAAACCAAATCCTTTGCCTGCAGTATAAATCGGATTTATTGATAACTTATCTGGAAGATCCCTAATCCGAATCACGATCAATCGATGATTGTTGATCAAATTATTGGGAAAATTGTTTACTTGACTTCTTCGGGTTTCACCCAAGAGAACTTTCAGCAGAATTTCAAAATGGTTTCTTAATCAAATCGAATCCCACAGTTTTTTTTGCCAAGAACTGGCAGATTTGAAGGAGTTTTTCCAAAATAATTCAACCAGTCTAACGAAAATCGACTGGTTCCAATGCGCCCACACAGGGCGTTCTGTGGTTCCACGACTTTCAAACGGAAGTCGATGAAACTGGCACAAATTGCATAATTTTTTCAATAAGAGTGCGCCAGTGGGCGCCCATGCAAGCAATTTGTTTATGAATTCGAAACGATGAAATACACAAAAACACCATATGGCCGAAAACCGCGTGGACAAACGCCGCAATGCTTTGTAATAAGAATAATAATGTCTTGTTAGTGTTTTCTCCGGCACGAGTGCCGTTGGAATTCTCTGATGAACTTTTGAAGCAGAAGAAAGCGACCTTATTACCCTTAACGAGCTAATAACGTTCGAGTCTTCAAGGAGGATTTTAATTGAGTGAGATCGTTCGTGGCCGATGAAGAAGACCGGCATGCTAGAAGTTTTAGATGTAATACACTCTTACCTTGGTCATCCTGTAAAATGCTCTTGTTTTCCAATATACCGGGTCTCAATTTGAAAACCTCCCACCCTTAATATCCCGCCAACCACTTAAGTCGCAAAAATCGTCCACATTTCCTTTACAATCGCTAATTTTCTAGTTTAAAGTCACATTTTCCGGTCCTTCAATCCTTCGAGAGACAATTCCAACAAATAAGACACTTTTTGCAAAGCGAACGTGTAAAAACCGGTTCATTTGAAACTTCAATTGCAATAAATACTGCTTTACTGACAGTTGATTTCAAAGTTGAAGTGTTTGTATTCACTCGTTGCCATGGTACATGTTTTGTATTCAAAGAGCCGACAAGCGATTGGTCGATCAGGTTTATGCGCATCCGGAAATACACGTCACCAGGGACGGTTTCTAGGCAACGAAGGTTGGTGATTTCTTCGAAAGGGGAAAAGTACCGATTTTATGCAGAAAATCTTCCTTGTGGACGAAATGAATTATTGACCAATGAGCGTGAGTGAAATTTTGATTTTCGGCCGAAATTTTTCCAAGGGTGGAGGTCGATTTTTTGAAAAAATGAAAATGTTCTCAAAATGTCTCAAATTTTCCATCATTTTCAGCTCACCGACGCGAGGAATGCATCGACCTCATTGAAGAACATGCTAGAAGTTTCAAATCCAAAATAATAGACATTTTCGGCACATTTTAAGCGTTTTTTGAGCGTTCACGATCTTATCACGAAGCAGTAATTTCAGCCACCAAGTGGCGTGTGAACTCGCGAATTCAGTCCATTAAGCCATTTTCTGTTCGTTTTCAATCCGCACAAATGGGATGAAAAACCGATTGGTTTCGACGTTTCAATATCGAAAAAATATACGGCATTGGCCGCAACCCATTTATTAGCCCACCTGCTTCGCCTATTTTGGACTCCATCGGCCCACTGACTACATAGAAGCAACCAGTGGCGTAGCATAAGCCGTTTAGGGCCGATGCAATGAAACAGCTTAACAAGCAAATGGAAAACCTGTTGAAGATGCAAGACCACATGGAGGCTTGATGTGGGCTTCAAGTGGGGCTAGAATGGATGAAAATAGTGTTGCGCAATCTATGGGATCGCTTGAGGTGGATTGAGGAATGATGATGGTTGATGGACGGACGTCCCTGTGGGTTTTGAACCATACAATCTGAAGGCGTCGAGGTGCTGCTGCTAAACCTGCTGCATGGGCGTGCTATTTGGAGATGGCGCCCACGTCTGACGTCATCAAAGGTGTCTTTATCAATGGCGCTGCAGGTTTCGTAAGAGAGAGCGGACGCTTGAATGGGAACATATGGTTGAAATTATAAATCCAAGCCAATTTCATGAAACCTATCGAGGCTGTTAATATTTGCGTTTCTCGGTATGGTAAATTGCTTTGTCGCCTTATGGATGATGGGTCGATGGCGCCATTCAAATTTGCTCAATATTGTCGATTTCTTGATCGGAAAACTGCACTTTTTTAATGCTCGATCAATGACTAAGTCCAATTAGTTGGTCAAGCGAGATCAAATGCGGATCACCGCCATCCTAATGGGCAGGTATCGAGTATTAACACCCACGACGCGGCTGCCCAAGGCTGTTTTCTACGATATTTCCAAATATGTAAATCGCATATTTGCGCCGTAAACATGTCGTTTGTGGAAAGCTAGATTGATCTTTTACACAACAAGCAAATATTTATTAACCTACAAGAGTTAAGTGAGCATATGAGAACATTTCTGTCGGTTTTCATCAAGTTTTCGGTTTCAGAAATGAGGTTTTTTGGATTTTCTGCACGGGGCTGAAATGATTTTGTGAAAAATCCCTGGAAACAACCTGACGATGACTGAAAATCGAAACGTTTTTCACTTATAGATCAGACTTTGTCGTACTGAAATGTGTCAAATTCTGATCTGCGAAAATAACACTAGAAAATCGATGGAGCTTGATTGAAAAAATGCAATAACGAAAATAGCAAGTATAAACACATTCAAAATTCGCTTTCAATATGCTTCTTTCTGTTTAAAGGCTGGCAAACGCTGAGTAGAACTAAACAAAATAAGTCGCAATGACATCTAAGTCAAAGTGCAGTCATAATTTAGCCGCCAGTGGGCGTTTTTTGCACGCAGCGCCGCTAGTTCAATAGTCCAGACGCCCCTTGGTGGCTAAAGTTGTAACTAAAAGTTAAGTAGTAAATTGACACTTGTTTTGTTGACATTGATGTCACTTTGATGTTTACATCTGATTGTGATTTGTTTTGATCTAATCAACTTTTGCAAGCTTTTAAAGAAATAGAAACAAATCGAAGTGTGTAAGTATTGTTTTATGTTAAAAATGTCATCAACTCCAATAAGTAAACAAGTCTGACAAGTCTCACAGTGACAACCGTCACTCACAAGCGTCTAGGTATACGGAATTTCTGTCACTTCTATCGATTGCGGCGATTCGAACCAATCAAATAAGCCTACCGGTTTGTTGTTATCGAACGTATCGTTGACAAGTTGTACAAATGAGTTAAGACGATTTAAGGTTAGGTGGTTTTGTTTATTGATTGATGATAATTATTTTAAAATTTGTCGAGATAAACAACCGCGAGTCCGCCAATCTTTTTTTTTCATTCTCTCGTGCATTTCGAACCTTATGTAAGCTCTAGATAAAAATGACAAACAAATAGTATCGTACAGAAATTCATAGGTAAATTTTATACGCTCTTGGCTAGTAATTTTTAATTTTTTAAGAGGGATAGTTTGCATTTGTTGGAACAAAAATAATAGCATTGCCTTTATATTAGCACAAAGAAAGACAGTGATAATTATGAGTATTTCTTAATTTATAACAATTTACAAATTATTTATTCTGATCAACTTAAATAGGTGGCAATAACAAGTAAGAGTGCTTATGACATTAAACACGTAATGTAATAAAAAAATGTTGTATTATTGTTAAAATATTTAAAATGTCTGATTACAAATCCTAGTATTTTATACGCCTGATATAATGAAATTAATTCACATAGTACTACCTGCTAAAAAGTCAAACTACGTTGTGGTATTCCACTTTTGCTGGAATAGTGTAAAAAGGCAATTATTTTCAAGTGTTGCTTAGTGTGACATGTTAAACAAAAAGTAAATAGAAACAGAAGATACCAGCAATTATTTTGCTTAATATTTCTTGACTCTTTTTCTGTTACTTTAAAATTAAAAAATCGTTGATAATTTGTTTTAATTAAATTTGCACATTGCACATAGGAAAATAACTTAAGCCAACTATCTA